AACCCCTTGCGTCCTAGTGGCTTCCCGCCTTGCTTGGGGTGAAATGATAAAAAAAAAAAAAAAAATTTATATGAATATATAATAAATATTATGAATATAGAAATTAATGAATAATAAAAATAGATAAGGTGAATATTTCAAAAAATATGTAAATAATTAAAAAACTCAATTGGAAATTTAAAAGAATAAACATTTTATTAAAATCTGAATTTTTAAAAAAAAATTTTGGATTCTTAATCTCTTTTTTTATGAATCTAATTGGTGAATTTCTCATAAATTCAAGGATTTCTAAGAGTGTAAAATATTTTGTTAAAAATGTGATTTTAAAAAACCCATTTGGGAAAATTGATTATTGAAATCAAAAAAATAAATTTAATTCAAATCTTAAAAAGATTAAATAGAAAGAATTTCAATGGGAAACTTTAAAAATAAAAATTACAAAATTATTTGTTATTTAATTCCATGTTTATTTTGTTTTATTTGTCATAATCATTTAAGAATTTTAAGATATAAAATTTTTTTGATATTAAATAGTAGTTTGTAAATTTTTCGGTTGGTTTGGACTTATTTTGAAAATTCTAAAATTTATTTTAAAAAAAATCAATTTACAAATTTCTTTATAACAATTTTTATTTGTTTTTAATTTTAAATTCGTTTTGTTAAATTTTAATGGTTTTTAAAAACATTTATTTTTAAAATATTTTTCATTTTTTAAAAAGTTGAGAAATTGAGTCAAATGAAATTTATATATTTTAGAAAAATTTCATTATAATTTTTTTTTTTGTATATTAAAATTTTTTTGCAAATTTTGCCAAATTATTTATGCGTTTAAAAAAAATTTGGATAAAAATAAAAATAAAAAAAAAAAAATATTTATATTAAATATATCAAAAAACAATGAAGAAATTGGAAAATTAAATTTTTTAAATTGTAAATTCATATAAAAGAATTGTTTGAATTTTTTTCAAGACCAACAAATGTTTCATAAAACAATATGAAAGAAAATTGAAAAAGAAATCCATTTATATACAAAATGAATTTTAAACTCTCAATAAAATAAAATAAAAGATTTAAAATTAAAAAAAAATATTTTGAATTTAAAAAAAGAAAAATATGAGTTGAATAAAATATGAAAAATAAAAATCAAAAAAAGTTAATTTAATAAAATTGTTGGAAATTATTTCAAAAATAAAACAAATTTAAGAATAGTAATATAAAAACATTTTTTAAATGTGTGGTTTTTATTTTGAAATTCTTATTTAAAATAAAAAAATAATGAAAATTTATATAAATTAAAAAATTTTTCAAAATTTTAAAATTTTTATTAAAAATCAAATAAAAAATCAAAAAAATAATAAATTTTCAAAAATAAATAAAATAAAAAAAATAAATATTGTTCTTATTTCAATAAATTATAATATATATCTGAATATAAAATGGATATTAAAAATTTAAAACAAAATTTTTTATAATATATATAAAAAATTTATTAATTTTTAAATTCAAACTATTTGGAAATTTTAAAAGATTTTCGAATGAAAAAATTTTACAAAAAATACAAATTGGATCCATATAATTTATTTCAAAAGAAAAAGAAAAAAAATGACATGAAAACAAAAAAAAATGGTTATTTTATTAAAAAATTCAAATTAAATACTTTAAAAAAAAATTAAAATAAAAACCTTTGACATTTAAAATAGAATTTTTGACATAAAAGTTTTCAAATAAATAAAAAAATATATTTTAAAAATTTATATTAAAAAATAAAATTCATTATTCATTTTAAAAAAAATTATTCATCAAATATTTAAAAAAAATTTAAATTTTATTTAAATGTTTTTTTATTTTTTTTGAACATTCAAATTTAAAAATTCAGTTTTTCATCTTTTTAAATAAAAATTATCTTATAAAAAAAAAATATTCATATTAATTCAAAAAAAATTCAGGCCTCAAACTGTTTATAAAAACAAATTTTAATTTAATGCCAAAACAAAAATAATTTATTTATTTAAAACAAAATTTATTTTTATTCATTAAAAATCTTTTTCTTATAAAATGTTACCAATTAAATCATAATTATTTTCATTTAAAACAAAATAAATTTTGTTTATTGTTTTCATTCAAAATAAATTTAAATTCAAAAAAATTTAAAAATCAATTCTTATTCAAAACAAAAAATGTGTTTCAAAAAAAAAATAAAACAATTTTATATAATATTATTTTTTATTCTTATTTAAAAAAAATTGGTTTTTAAACAAAAAAAATGCAAATAATTTCAAATTAAAAAATTTCAGTTTATTCTTACAAAATCAAAATTTCCAAAATAAAAAAAATTGATTTTTATTTTTTTATAAAATTATTTATTTTAAAAAAAAAAAATATTCTCGAATCAAACAAAAAAAAAAAATTTAAAATATATTTAAAAACAAAATTATTCAAAACAAAAATTTTTTTTATATTTTGAAAAAAAAAAATTATATGAAAAAATTTGTTTAAAATTTAAAAAAAAGAAATGAATTTTAAAAAATTAAATTTAAATGGCGGTAGAATGAAAAAATTATTTAAAAAAAAAAAATTGACAATTGAAAAATTCAATTTAAATTGAACAAATTCTTATCAAAACAAATAAAATTATTTAAAAAAAAACATGAAAATTTTATTTTATAAAAAACAAAGAAAAATTTATTTATAAATTTAAAAACATATTTTTATCAAAATTAAAAAATTTTGATTAGTTTATTATTAAAAAACAAAAAATTTATTTTTCTTATTTTATTCAATTAAAAAAATTTTTTATTATATTTAAAAATTTATGGTTATTCTTAAAAAATTTTAAATACAATTATTTTATTCTTATTTAAAACAAAATTAGCGTTTATTTATTTAAAAAAAAATTGGCAAAAGAAATATTTAAATCTTAAATTATTTTTTTTAAAATTTTTAAAAAATTTTGGCGTTAAATTTATATAAAAATTTAAAATTACAAAATTGGTGGTTAAAACAAAATTAAAATTCATTTATTCTTATTTAAATTCAAAAATTTATGTTTATTTTTTTAAAACAAAATTGGCGTTTATTCTTATTTAAAACAAAATTGGCGTTTATTCTTATTTAAAACAAAATTGGCGTTTATTCTTATTTAAAAAAAAATCGGTTGTTTTTTCTTAAAAAAATTGGATTTTTTTTGGTCATTTATTCTTATTTAAAACAAAATTTTTTTATTATTTTATTTTCTTTCTTTATTTAAATCAACCAAAACAATTTTTTTTCTTTTTATTCAAATTAAACGTTTATTTTTCAAAACAAAATTCTTAATTTATTTTTTATTCAAAACAAAATTGGCGTTTATTCTTATTTAAAACAAAATTGAAATTTTTATTTAAAAAAAAATTTATTCTTATTCAAAACAAAATTGGTATTTATTCTTATTAAAAAAAAATTTGGGTTTTATTCTTATTTAAAACAAATTTGGCGTTTATTTCTTATTTAAAAAAAAAATTTTAAAAACAAAATTATGTTTATTCTTATTCAAAAAACAAAATTGGAAAAATTGGCGTTTAAAAAAAAATTCTTATTCAAAACAAAATTGGCGTTTATTCTTATTTAAAAAAAATTTAAAAATTCAAAAAAAAATGGCGGTTATTCTTATTCAAAACAAAATTGGCGTTTATTCTTATTCAAAACAAAATTGGTGGTTATTCTTATTCAAAACAAAATTGGCGTTTATTCTTATTTAAAACAAAAATGGCGGTTATTCTTATTTAAAACAAAATTGGCGTTTATTCTTATTCAAAACAAAAATGGCGTTTATTCTTATTTAAAACAAAATTGGCGTTTATTCTTATTTAAAACAAAATTGGTGGTTATTCTTATTCAAAACAAAATTGGCGTTTATTCTTATTTAAAACAAAATTGGTGTTTATTCTTATTCAAAACAAAATTGGCGTTTATTCTTATTTAAAACAAAATTTTTTTTTTATTCAAAATTAAAAAACAAAATTGGTGGTTATTCTTATTTAAAACAAAATTGGTGGTTATTCTTATTCAAAACAAAAATGGCGGTTATTCTTATTTAAAACAAAAATGGCGATTATTCTTATTTAAAACAAAATTGGCGGTTATTCTTATTTTAGAGCTTTGCGTTTTTGCTTTTACTTCTCATTCGTTTCCTGCAAGTTAATTTGTCTCACTGCCAGGACACATAAAGAATAAATTAGTTCCCAAATTTGTGATAACCGAGACAGAAGGTCAAAGAACACGCCCCCACCCCAGCAGGTTCAAGTGACACTTTTCAATGCAGAACCACCACTCATGTATTTAGAATAAATGTATAAATAAAAACGAGCTTCATCACTTGCGTTCGCGCCACCAAGCTTCGATTGGCTAATCTTTTCAATTACTAATGTCACGTGATTCAGCGAATTTTGTGCTTGGATTGGATGGCTATAAAGTTGCCGAATATAAGAAAAGAACTTCGTTGAATAATTTTGCACGTTTTAACTTGCCATTTTTTAATTCTCGCTCAGGAAAAATAGTAAGTGTGTCTCTGATTCGATTTGGTCGGTCATTTTTAATCACCGTCCGAATTACGGTCTCGTTTAGGATTGTCTTCGTTTACTGATATGCTTAATTAATTAGAGATCGGATTCCTTTCCAAGTCGCTCCCGGTGAGATCAGGTGTAAAAATGTTGACCTGTTGAAAAGTGATATTTAATAGCTATGACGTCAATAAAACAAAACTCCCGTTAATCATGTTGACAAAAACACGTGTGTCCGCGCGTGCGCGCGCACACACACCGAAGCAGGCATATACAGGCACAAAAAGAAAGAAAGAACAATGAGAGAACTGAATAAAAAAGAAAGAAAGAAAAAAAAAAGAAAGTTAAAACTGTATAAGAAAGGGAGAAAGCAATGGATGAAATTTGAATAAGAAAGAAAGAAAAAGAAAAATTGAAAAATTGATGAAAACTGAATGAGGAGAAAAAATAAAAAGGTAAAATTTATAAAGAAAGAAAAGAACGGTAAAAACTTGATGAGGAAGAAAGAATAATAGATGAATATTGAATAAGAAAGAAAGAAAGAAAGAAAGAAAGAAAGAAAGAAAGAAAGAAAGAAAGAAAAAAGAAAAAAAGAAATAAAAAAACAATGGAAGACCGGAATAAGAAAGAAAGAAAAATATTGAGAGACCCCCCAATAAGAAAGAAAGAAAGAAAGAAAGAAAGACAGAAAGAAAAACAATGGAAGACCGCAATAAGAAAGAAAGAAAAAAGAAATGGATGATAACTGAATGAGGAGAAAGAATAAAAAGGTAAAATTTATAAAGAAAGAAAAGAACGGTAAAAACTTGATGAGGAAGAAAGAATAATAGGTGAAAACTGAATAAGAAAGAAAGAAAGAAAGAAAGAAAGAAAGAAAGAAAGAAAGAAAGAAAGAAAGAAAAAAGAAAAAAAGAAAGAAAGAAAGAAATAGAAAGGAAGAAATGTGGGTGGATTATGCTGCTCTTCTTGCTGGGACTATTTTTCGATGCGTCGTTTCATCCGGGAGAAATTTTCTTCTATTTACGACAGTTGCTCTGCCTCTATTTCGAAGTGTTGGTAATCAGAACAGCTGATAAAAGGGAAACCAACAAACAAACAAAAAAGTTTCATTTAGCCAAATCAACAGCTTCATAAAACTACCAAATGAATGGAACAATTTTTTGATTGAAAATGGAATGGAGATAAAACTCCAAACTCAGTTGTTAACAATAAGAACACTACATTGTTATAATTCCATTTTTTTTTTTTAACTATTTCTGCATTTGAAATAGAGGATTAATTTATTCTAGATTCATTCATCCATCTTGAATCTTGTTGAATATTTACCCTTGAATGGATCTGTTGCTTCAGATAATACATCTTTGGTTTATTATCTTCACCTTGAATTCCTACTAACTTGACTGAAAGGAATCACCCATTCACAAAAACTTGCAATTGAAAAGAGCAGACGACAATAAAAAAAATGAGTAAAGAAAAACAATGACAGAAAAAATATAAATATTGCAAGAAATAGTAAAACTACTGTTGAAAAATTATATAACAATATACATATATTCATCTATATATATGTCTATCTATATGTATATATGTATATATATACGTGTATTAGAACTGTATTAATAGCTGTATAAAGTCCCCAGTTTAGTGCTGTAATTGACGGATTTTCAATATTCACACTTTTCAACACTTATTCAAATTCGCGATTCCAACAAGAATGAAACATTAGAACGAAATTTCATATTTGAAATCGACTTTTCACTTTACTTACATTCCTTTACTAATTTTAAAAGTCTCTTTTACAAGTGGCGGAACTGTAATCATTTTAAACTGCAATATATTTTTGCGTGACATCATACCAATAAAATATATCGTCAACTGTTACAGGATTTCTAAGAAAAATTCACGCGAAATATTTATTATGGAATTTACAAAGAAAAATTTCTTTCAACATATCTCGTCAGTCACTCTCGGATAATTATTCATTTTTTTGTTTGTTGTTTTTTACTGCTTTCAACACCAACTACGCACTGTTTTCTCGCATTATCTGATTTGCTGTCAGAGGATGAAAATGCATATCTCGTGAGATATCGCTTTCGTTGCTCTGGGATTAAAAAAGAAAAAAAAAAAAAAGAAAAAAGAAACAACTTGTGGGATATTTCATCCGAAAGTTTTAATATCAAGAACTGGTATTATCAAATAGTATTTAAGAAAGTTTATAAGTTTATTAAATTACAGCTGTTTCTTGAAGTGTTTATCTTCATGACTTCATCTTTTTCTTGTCCCGTCCATCACAATCAGCTAACGCTGCTATCATCACGGACATCTTAAAAAAAAAAAAAAAAAAAAAACGATTTTGGTTTTACGGTATAACATAGCCTCGCATTTTTAGTAATAATTAACAAACCAAACATTTGAATGGATCAGTTTTCCAGGAATTAAATCTGCCTGTCATTGTGAGATATTGCCCAAAGGAATATATTCTCTTTATTTGTACATTTACATCAAAACAATTTCATTTATTACTTACTGCCTTGCGAATCGGCTTTGTGCCATCGTTGATTTTCGTGCAACAGATATCAATTCGATTTTTAATTCAACATTCCAGTTTCTAATCCAGGCAATAGAATTTTTTTTTTATATAATTTATAAATAAGCAAATAAATAACATATATTAGAATGTGACTCATTACAATCACGGATTTTAGAGATTTCATTCTATTTTTCGGAATGTACGAGAACAAAACTGTTTTAAGTGAAATCATCTGCAATGACAGTTTAATCGACAACAAAACAGCCATTCCCAACTTCACAAGCTATAACGATGACAACCACACCTTTCAAACGGACACGATAGCCAACCACCACAATAATAACATTACATCGGTGACCAACAGCCTGTCAGTCCACAATTTAATTTTCGTAACAGTAAACCTTTTTCTTGTTCCTCTCATCATTGGAGGCAACGCATTGGTTCTGCTTTCTATTGCTTCATTTCCGCGCCTGCGTACTGTGTCCAATATATTTGTATCCAGCCTTGCAGTCGCCGACCTTTTGGTCGGACTTCTAGTGATCCCTTTTTATACGGTGTATTACCTGTCCGTGCCGGGCGTCACGGAAAACAAATATGCCTGCCTGTTTAAATACGCTTTCATTATCGAGTCGTGCGGTTCGTCCATTTTCAATCTGTCTGCCATTGCTTTCGAACGCTACGTAGCAGTTTCGTTCCCGCTCAAATATTCAGCGATCATGACCCGTCGGAAAGCTAAATTGATCGTTACTGTCCTCTGGACTTACGTCACCGTTTTAAGTCTGGCTCCCATCGCCGGGATAAACACTTGGCGGGCGAACGCCGCTTGCGATTTTTATCTGGTCTTGCCGATGGGCTATACTGTCCTGGGTTCATTCGTCACCGTCTCGGTGGGTATGGTCACGACTTCGGTGTTCTACGCTCTCATTTATTGGGAGATACGCAAGATGAGACGGTTCACAGAGAACCAGTCACGGCTGGACAAATCACATAACCGCGATGTACGTTCGGCCTTCGTCATGGCAGTTGTCTCCCTAACTTTCCTCATGTTCTGGCTACCATATATCGTGATCGGACCTCTGAAATATATCCCGACCTTGGATCGGGAATTTATCGAGCGTCTTAAGAATTACACCCTCTGTCTGGCCATTAGTAATTCGATGGTCAATCCATTTATTTATGGCTGTTTACGTAAGGATTTCCTTTCTGCCTATCGTACGTTCCTTTGTAATCCGTGTTCTTTCAGAAGGCGCGAGAAAAATTTTAATCTTGCATTAAGCCACTCATGTGACTAATATTTACACTGATGCAGAAACTAAAACTTTACTTCGAAGAAAACGGTGAAAACTAGGTGATAGCATTAGTGTGAAAAAATTCGTTCAGTTTGCGCCAGGCCCGTGGCCGGTATGTTTTGAGAGGGGGCATACTTTAAGCAATGGGGAAGGGCCGTGAATAAGAAATTTGTGCACTAAAATTAGATCACATAATGTTCACAGGAAAGGCAAAATGGTTTTCAGGGACGGGTCTGGTTCGCGGACGAATGTTTAAGTTTGGCATGAAGCCATTATTGTGATTAATGAATTTTTTTTTTCCACCAGAGAAAAAAAAAAGAGTCAAAACATAAAATCTTGCATTCCCCTCTTTTCTCTCTCTCTCTCTCATTTTTAGATTCTCCCTCTCACTCTCTCTCTCTCTCTCTCTCTCTCTCTCTCTCTATATATATATATATATATATATATATATATATATATATATAAAACAAAGGAAAAACTTTTATTTATATTGTCTTTACAGATATATTTTATTTATATCTGAATTTTTACACACGCACATGATATATATATATATATATATACACATAAACACACACACACGCACACACACACACACACATATATATATACAGTAAAACACACACACACACACACACACACACACACACACACATATATATATATATATATATATATATATATATATATATATATATATATATATGAATACACAATACTGAGTAGCGCTAATAATATTTATTCAAAATTATACCATATGCAATTCAATATTATCACTTGATAAGACAGCAGAAGTGTCGAAACGAAATTGTAACTTTCGTAGTGATCTTATAGCATGCATATGTTATAAATTTGAATATATATATATATATATATATATGTGTGTGTGTGTGTGTGTGTGTGTGTGTGTAGAAATATAGTCTTAAGGTGTGCTATATTTATGAGATAAAGTGCTCAATATCAGAGATAGAGCGTGTGTAAATATAAAGTGAACATTGAAGTCAAACAAAACCTAGAGGCGATAGTTCTGTTTCATGCTAGATGCAATCGTCAGGCCTGACGATTGCATCTAGCATGAAACAGACTGTCGCCTCTAAGTGCTGACTTCAATGTTCTTATATATATATATATATATATATATATATATATATATATATATATATATATATATATTAAGGGTTTACCAAAAATCAAAAGTCTGAGCATGTACCTGCTTTAAAATCGACTCCTTCGAAGCATTACTTCGACAGGGACGATGAAAACTAAGTGCTGGGGTTAGCGTGAAATCCTGTTCAGTTTGTTCACGCCCTTCAAAATTGCTATTAAGCCGCCCTTTTATCCATTTCTCTCTTACTTTCGTTCTATCTATCTATATATCTATCTATATCTATATATATATATGGCTAACTAAAAATCAAGGACAGCGAGCATAAACAATTTACATATCGTTCATTTTTAAGAACTGAGAAAAATATGTGTTATGGTTAGCATGAAAATCACACGCGCTGCTCGAAATGAATAACTTTTCGTTCACACTCGTATGAAAATATATATATATATATATATATATATATATATATATATATATATATATATATATAATTATATTGAAGTTTTCGGCTCTTGTTTTTGAAACATGAGAACTCTTATGTAGCGTTTGAATCATATTTTTAAATAAATAATTATATATATATATATATATATATATGATTAATTTTCATTAAATGTATAAGGTGTTCAATTATTGCTGTCTCTTTATGTCTATAATATATTGTTGTATTATGCATACATATATATATATATATATATATATATATATATATATATATATATATATTAAATGCATGTTATATATAACATATAATATGGTTTTCTGTTGCTATATCGTATGATATATATTATAATATATGATGTTTTTAAAATATTTTGTTGTAAGTTGTGTTTTGTGTACAAATTTAAGCGAAATCGAATGATGGACAAATTATGTAAAACTGATCCGATTTTCTTTTTTTTAAATGTATTTTGTCAAATTTAAACAATAATAATGTAAACTTGCATCGATGATTGAATATTTGTTCTTATTTTTCGCCTGTTTTAACCTTGCATTAACGTGTATATATATATATATATATATATATATATATATATACATATATATATATATATATATATATATATATACACATACAGATATATATATATAAGGTTCAAACACTAATATTCCATGGTTATAATTTATTACATTGGAATCGTAATCACGATCCAATTCATCAGGCCTTTCCAAGAGTATAGAATCCTGGTAGAACTCAATGTCCAGGACAGAGTAAGAATATAATATAAAATACCAATGTTCCATGGTTATAATTTATTACATTGGAAACGTAATCAGGCCTAAGGCCTGATGAATTGGATCATGATTACGATTCCAATGTAATAATTTATAACTATGGAATATTAGTTTGAACCTTTTATATTATATTTTTGCTCTGTCCTGGACATTGAGTTCTACCTGGATTCTATACTCTTGGAAATTCATATATATATATATATATATATATATATATATATATATGACTTGAATTAAGAGGACGTCATTTTGCCTTTAGCAGATCCTTTCGGCCAACAATTTATCAAAAGGTGAACGTTGGCGCCTAGAACAAAATACTCATTGACACACTTATAAATAGCGAATGAGAAGGGAAAATTGGGACACTATTAAAATAGATTTTAATTGTAAACAAATTTACCACTAATTTTTTTCTATTCTATAGTCTTTTTGGAACCTTTTATTTTGTTTTTAGTCAACAATTTGTGGAAATTATTAAAAAACGAGAACTTGTAGGTCTTAAATGACCCATGATGTTTGTGCCTAAATGAAAAGTTATATATTATTATGCTTTTGCTGAGTGAGGGCGAAACCGGTTACTGAATTGGTCTGTTTTTTTTTTTCTTCTTATTTTCCTTTTAATCATGTATGGTAAAGCACGTCTTGCCATTTTTAATTCCCATAATATATATATATATATATATATATATATATATATATATATATATATATATATATATATATATCCAAATAAAGATTCATACTCACAGAAGAAGAAAATAGAGAGGACGTCATTTTACCTTTAGGGAGACGCCCTTCGGCCAACAATTTATCAAAAGGTGGCGCCTAGAACAGAATAATCAATGACACACTTGTAAATAGCGAATGAGAAGGTAAAATTGGAATACGATTAAAATAGATTTTAATTGTAAACAAATTGACGACTAAAAACCAAATAAAAGGTTCCAAAAAAGAGTATAAAACAGAAAAAAGTTACTCATATTCCCACGATCAAATATAACGAACGAATGGAGTGTTCCTTTTGCGTATATATGCTTGGCTGATGAAATTTAATATACACAGCCCCAAGAACTCTAATATGTTGGACCGAGCGAGCTCTATGTAAGATTAAAAATAATTTGTCATTGTAATCGATGATACAGTCAGGATTGTCTAAAAAGAAAAAACAAGTGTATCATTGATTATCTACTGTATTCATCAACGTTCACCTTTTGATAAAGTGTTGACCGAAAGGGTCTCTTTAAAGGTAAAATAACGTCCACCCTATTTAAGTCTATTTTCAGTTTTTATCCACTTGAAATTGCTAAATGTAACCTGAAGTTTTATTCTAATGTTTTCTTCTCTCACATCTCTCACATCTCTCACATGTGGAACTTATCTTTCGCTTTCCTTGTTTTGTCTTGTTTTGTTTTACGGCATATCAACCACAATGGGTTATTTAATGGCGACAATTTTATTGCTGGCAATATTTTTTCTCCTAAATTCTATTTCAGGCAATATTTTTTCTTCAAAAATGTATAGATGGTAATAATTTTTTACAAAGTATTTCTGGTCTTAAACCTACTTTTACACTTTCATACTGTTTTGACCCCAGTTTGTGGGTTAACTATTTGCCCATAGCTAGGACCCCTAACAGGTGCTACCACCCCAGGTTAGGGTGGACCTGGGAACATCAGCAATTAAGAGGTGCTTCCACGCTCCTCAAAACCTCCTGATCAGAGGCCTTGCTGTTGGATGTAGTTTATCGTCTTACCCAGGACGCCGGATGTAGTTTATCGTCATACCCAGGACGCCGGATGTAGTTTATCGTCATACCCAGGGCGCCGGAGGTAGTTTATCGTCATACCCAGGGCGCCGGATGTAGTTTATCGTCATACCCTGCCGTCGGAGGTAGTTTATCGTCATACCCAGGACGCCGGATGTAGTTTATCGTCATACCCAGGGCGCCGGATGTAGTTTATCGTCATACCCAGGACGCCGGATGTAGTTTATCGTCATACCCAGGGCGCCGGAGGTAGTTTATCGTCATACCCAGGACGCCGGATGTAGTTTATCGTCATACCCAGGGCGCCGGATGTAGTTTATCGTCATACCCAGGACGCTTCGCTTTCGTGATTTTCCATCAACTATGATCTTCAAAATGCGACGTCAATTATCATCTTCTGTCTATTTGAATTTTGTTCTTTTATTGTTTTCTCTTAGTTTCTTTCACACTCAGTAACCCCTTGCGTCTTAGTGGATTTATTGTCTTGTTTCGGTTGAAATGATTTAAAATATTTGAAGGAAATGAATCAGTTCACGTTAAATTTTTTTATAAGCAATTCATATTAAGTTAAAACAATAATCACCAATTTTGGAACATACATTCTTAAATGAATTTAAATTCCTCGTCTAGTCAGTAACTTAATGTGTGACCGCTTAGGAAAGTCAAATTGGATGTGCGGGTGGTGTAATGAATAATGGCTCAGGATTGTTAATCGGAGAGCCGAGTTCCAATTCTAGTCGGGTTTGTTATATTCACTGATGCGCAAATACCATTGGAAAATGTATAAATCTAACTCTTCTTTCCCCCAGCTATGGGTTAATTAGTAAAACGTATCACTAAATTATTATTATTCCCTCGACCCGAATTCTTACAATTTAAAAGATATTTTGT